TGACCAAAATTGGGTAAGTTACGCCAGTTGATCATTTTTCGAAAAAAAGTTCATTTTTTTTGCACACCACTGTATATCAGAGATTCGAACCGACATAAAAGAGATGAAAACCGAAATTTCAGAGCTTAGAACAGACGTAACAGAGATGAAATCAGAAATGTCGGAAGTGAAAACCGATATGAAAAAAAATTGTCTAAATCTTGCAGCAAGCTTTTAGAATAGATGATATGGGTTTCAGTTGTTCAATTAGAAATCAATGATGTTTTTTATTTTGAAGTATTCATAATCTCTCGTATGTAGGTGGTGAGGGCCCCGTTTAATCTTCTCTTTTCGATTTTTAAAATCGAAAAGAGAAGATTAAACGGGGCCCTCACCTCCTACACACTCAATAGCAATCAGATGTTGTCAATTCGTTTTATGCTTAGAATTAGTGAAGTTAATAATAAATATTTTTTGCTTTTTAAATCATGATTGTCTTTAATTTTATTTTCTCTTTAGCGAAACTATATTTCGTAAAAATAAGTAAATTAAGGAACGATTTTATATGCGGGAAATGTAATAATTTATTCACGACAACAGTAACAACCGATGATTTATTAATAAATCGTTAATAATACACTGTCAATGTCGAGATGATAAATTACAGGGCGGGAAAGCATTTCTTGCGATATGAAGACGTCCTATCCTCTAATAAACTAACGACCAAGCCCTGAACTTTTTTCACGCTTGAAATTCTTTGGAAGTTTAATCTAAAGAATTGAACATTGTTAAATTTTACACGAGTTGAATTAGATCTGTTAAAAAAAAAGCATTATTTTTCGTAATGGTACCGGTCATATATGAATGAATGACTGCGGAATCTACCCACCAATTTCTTTGTCTTAATTATCTCATGCGGAATTTTATCTTTAAATGAGTATTTTGTTTTGTAGTGTTTTGCCAAAATTTTAATTCGATCAGAATAAATTTTCCGTGATGAAAAAATGTTTTAAATAACTCCTACTGGAAGTATCCAATCAGCTTTTTCTTTTATTCCTGATGATTTAATAGCAAAACCACCCAAATACTTTAAAGAAAAAAGCTTTTAACGAGTTTTTCATTTTTTCATTTTTCATTTTTCATCTTATTTTTTTAATTCTAGAGGGTGGAAACGGCAAAAAAATCTTTAACCGTTTCCAACAATCATACTGTATGTATACTTGATCAATGCACGATTTAATCAAAAAAAAAAAAAAAAAGAAAAACCTTTAATTTATTCCTAAGAGGAATCTTAGAAAAAAAAAAAGGAATGATAAATCAATATGGCGGAAAATATAAATATTTGATCGCGAAACCGAAAATAAAAAAGAAAAGAATCTAAATACTAAAAAAAAACTCATGTTATGACTTTCGAAGAGATTAAAGCTGAAAGAAGAACCTAAGAATAAAAAAAAAAAAAATCAAAACTCGAGATTAGTAGGAATAAAAAAAGGAAATTATTACGAAATATATAGATTATTGAAGTTTATTTTTAAAAAAAAAAGAATGCTGAATTGCTACGATTGCTACATTATCTTAATATAATCGAATTAACGGAAGCCTTAATTAGATATCTTATTATCATAAAATGTAAAATGCAAATATTATTTGATAAATAATAATTTATTCTTGAAAATGGAGATTTTTTTTTTGTAAATACATATTTCTCGCGTTCAATTTGTGATTTAAAAATCTCTAAGCAATAAATAAATCGAACGAAAATCGAATATTAGATAATCGATAATAAAATGATACTTTATGCTAACTTTCAAATTCGCTCAATCATATAAATTAATTAAACTGTTCAATTGAAAATATTATAATTTTTGTACAGTACTTGATGTATTTACGTATGTATAATGAATTTTTTTAAAAAGAAAAAAATTTACATAAATTGAAAATGATATCGTTAAACTATGTATTTTTTTTTTTTTTTAGTTCTTGGTCTAATTTTAACGAACAAGTTATTAAAGTGGATGACAGGTTTTTTCCCCTGTGTACCCTCAGAAAATGTAATAATTGTCACGAAATGGCCGACATCACTGATACTTAGTAAAAAATGAAAACGCGGAGGGAAATGACATCGACGACAAAATATATCACGTGAATTTTTGTGATTCGTGACAAAAGCGTAAAAGTATCCCGAAAAATCTGTTTCATTTTTAATAAATAATAATAGTGATAACAGATAATAACATTACACCATGTTTTGTACGACATAAAATTTAAAAAGATAAAAAAAAAAATATCTGATCGTTAGGAACCTATTCTCGCAAATCTTTTTTTATAACAGACGAGTAATAAAAACTTTATTATTATAGTATTGTTTCATTTTTCCACAACTAGTTTTATATAGATAATAATTAAAAATCTAAACCAACGAAATTTATCCAGAAACTATAACGTTTATGTTAACTTCATGATCTGTAAAATTTATTCATGCATAAGTAATATGAGACATAACTTTTTTTTTTAAATAAATAAATAATAAAAAGGTTTACTTGAAATATTATATTTATACTTAGTTTGGCTTTACCTGGGATTTTTTTTTTTTTTTTGAATCTGAGTTTAGTTATTCTTTCGCTTCCAAAAGTTTTGGACAGCAGGATATGGATGTGGAACGTTGAATTATGCCTCAAGCCTCCCTGTTATAAATATAAGAAATTTAACATTTTCTGAAAGCGAACTATTGTTACAATTGAATGTAATTCCGGCCGAAATCTCCATAATTCCGCATGAAAATCGCTTTCGATATTTGCAGTTAGTCCTTTGAAGATCATTTGACAGGCTGGCACCGTGCCAGGATGTCAAGGTGCCAGGTTGTCAGGGCGCCAGGCTGTCAAGATGCCAGGTTGTCAAGGTGCCAGTATGACAAAATTTTCAAAACACCAGGCTGGCCTAATTATTTTTTTTTTTATATATTTACGAGCTGGAAATCCTTAAACAACTTAATATCCACGCTCGCCCTTGTTATATTTCTTTGAATTATTATCAAATTAATCAGTGTTGCCTCAACATCAGCGATCTACACTTTCGCTTGATCAATAAATTAAACTAAGTAAATTCCAAATTCTAATTAATTAAACTGCGCAATTACGAAAATATTACAAAAATAATATAATCGGAAATTAAAAAAATATAATAAACGAAGTTACAACTACAAAATTAAAAGTTAAAACGGCGAAAGCGAAAATATCGCGAAAGGTGTTAAAGGAAGGATTTCGAAGGGAATGTATTACTTGTCATAATTACTTTACTTTACTTAAAAATATTCAATTTTATTCAATCAATACCTTCTGCTTACAATACAAATTGTTAAAAATACATAAACGAAAGAACTGAAAACAACACTATATATAAATAATGCTACTCTTGAAAATTCTTTTATATTGATTTATGTAAATCCAAATCACCTTCCTCAAAAAATTTTTACCAAACCACAATAAATTTCCTATTCAGTTATACTACATGATCGCAAAATTTACAGTATAATTTTTCATTTTCTAAACGAAGGCGAATTTGATAATTAGAACTCTTTGAAAATCTCCCCGTGCCATAACCATTTTGTAAAATATAAGGTCACGTGAAAATGCAAATTGCCAAAAATGCGATGCACGTTATGCAAAATTTTAGTCAATGCACGAATCCGTGGGCTCTAATGAAAACATTCATAAAAGTTTCTTTCATTTTAATAAAGAATTCGTTTTTGTCGTGTCTCTATGATAGTGGTAGACCTAGGTATATATAGCAAACCTGTATGATTTTGAATGTATTTATAGTATTATTTTTTTGTCATACAAGTGCATGCTTGTGTTAACAAACGTTGGTTACTTACCATTGGTGTTTAAACAGAATTTGGGAGGTTTGCTATTAAATCAGTTACGAACATAGTAAATAATATGATCCGTAACGTGATTTCAATAGCTTACTTCCCATTTATTAGTATTTTCGTTCGAAAGTTTAAGTTTTGGCGCACATTTTTTTTTTGCAAACCTTTGTACATCAAACTGATTAATAATATCATTACAATACACAAACTTTAAATAAACCAACAAAGATACAAACATCTAGACGAACTTTAGCATCGAAGACATATCATCGGGCCCACTTCGATTATCATCGACACCAAATGAAAGTGAAAAGGTAATATTAGATTGGTATAAATTGTCCCATGGTTTATCTGAAATAATAGAACCCTTTGAGATAATACATCTCTCCTTGCCAATATTTTCAAGACGTCAAACATGCTCAATTCTTGTTTTGCTCGTCAACTGTTTCCGGTATATTTAAGTTAACATTATCGAAGTCATCTTTGCTTATTGCTTAACTAGGGCTACATTGTTAAAAATATAATTCATCTGCCTTTAAGAAACTTTTATTACAACGAATTGTTCGTTTGCTAAATTGCCAATCCTGCCGATCTATTATTATGTTGATATCATACGACTATGTTAAAATTAGAAGTTTCTAGACAGTCAATATTTATCTACAAATTTATCTAACGGGTGATCATTAATTTTAATTTCGATTTTCTAAGAATAACAAATTTTAAGCTTTTATACAAACAATTGGAAATTCTTAAAATACACTTTACGCCGCCTTTAATGAATCCCTACATTTACTTCTTTTAACTTTGCTTACAATTTCTTATATAAAGTCCTCTTTTTTTTTTCACTCCATCGTCCCTTCAGAAATTTAAAAATTTAAAAATTCTTTAAAAATTTGACTCTACTCAAAAAAATTTTAAAATGAAGTTCTCTTATGCTTTATTTTTGATATTATCTTTAATAGTTGTATATACTACTTCAGTTTCCAATGCTGCACCACACGGAGATGGTGTACTTCTTAAAAGACCAACCTAAACATCCAAAACATCCTAAGCATCCATAAAGTTGATTTAAAATTAAATGAAGGTACTTGTGTAACCTTAATCTTAATTTTTATGTTGTATTGTTTAATTTTGTTTTTAATATCAAAATTTTAAAATCATAGAAATAATAGCCGAGAGATTCTTGTTTATTGTGTCAGTTTTCTTTTATTTGTAAATAACTGATTTATCGATAAGTTTTATAATGGACGATTCGACTTTTGAAAGAAAACGTTCTCTTCATTTTTTTCGATTTTGTTGAATTCAACTACTCCTTTATCATCCTTCATTTAATATGTTATTTTTATTTTTTTTATTTTTTTACATTACAT